TTTCAACATAGTTTTCTCTAGGAACATATCATAAATAAAACGGGGAAGCTATAAGCGAGCAATTGATCTACAACATAGATATGCAAATACTACCAGGACTAAGTTCATGATAAATTAAAGTTCAGTTAATCATATTACTTAAGAACTCCCACTTAGATAGACATCCCTCTAATCATCTAAGTGATCACGTGATCCATATCAACTAAACCATGTCCGATCATCACGTGAGATGGAGTAGTCTTCAATGATGAACATCTCTATGTTCATCATATCTACTATATGATTCACATTCTACTTTCGGTCTCCAGTATTCCGAGGCCATATCTGCATATGCTAGGCTCGTCAAGTTTAACCCGAGTACTATGCATGTGCAAAACTGGCTTGCACCCATTGTATGTGAACGTAGAGCTTATCACACTCGATCATCAAGTGGTGTCTCAGCACGAAGAACTTTCGTAATAGTGCATACTCAGGGAGAACACTTATACCTTGAAATTTTAGTAAGGGATCATCTCATAATGCTACCGTCGTTACTAAGCAAAATAAGATGCATAAAAGATAACATCACATGCAATCAAAATATGTGACATGATATGACCATCATCATCTTGTGCCTTTGATCTCCATATCCAAAGTACCGTCATGATCTCCATCGTCACCGGCATGACACCATGATCTCTATCAACGTGTCGTCACATGGTTGTCTCGCCAACTATTGCTTTTGCAACTATTGCTATCGCATAGCGATAAAGTAAAGCAATTATATGGCGCTTGCATCTTATGCAATAAAGAGACAACCATAAGGCTTCTGCCAGTTGCCGATAACTTTAACAAAACATGATCATCTCATACAACAATTTATATATCATCACGTCTTGACCATATCACATCACAACAAGCCCTGCAAAAACAAGTTAGACGTCCTCAACTTTGTTGTTGCAAGTTTTACGTGGCTGCTACAGGCTGAGCAAGAACTGTTCTTACCTACGCATCAAAAACCACAACGCGGTATAGTGATTGCTTTTTGATCTTCAGAAAGAACCTTGTTCATTGAATCCGATTCAACTAAAGTTGGAGAAACTGACACCCACCAGCCACCTGTGTGCGAAGCACGTAGGTAGAATCAGTCTCGCATAAGCGTACATAATGTCGGCCTAAGCCGCTTCATCCAACAATACCGTTGAATCAAGAATAAACTAGTGACGGCAAGCAATATGTATATACCCACGCCCACAACTCTTTTGTGTTCTACTCGTGCATATAACATCTACGCATAGACCTGGCTCTGATGCCACTGTTGGGGAACGCAGTAATTTCAAAAAAATTCATACACACACGTAAGATTTATCATGGTGATGCATAGCAACGAGAGGGAAGAATATTGTCCACGTGCCCTCGTAGACCGTAAGAGAAAGCATTATGACAACACAGTTGATGTAGCCGTACGTCTTCACGATCTGACCAATCTTGGTACCGAAAGTACGACGCCTCGGCGATCAGCACACGTTCAGTTCGGTGACGTCCCACGAACTCTTGATCCAGTTGAGTGTCGAAGGAGAGCTTTGTCAGCATGACGGCGTGATGACGGTGATGATGAAGCTACTGGCGCTGGGCTTCGCCTAAGCACTACGACAATATGACCGAGGTGGATTATGGTGGAGGGGGGCACTGCACACGGCTAAGAGATCAATGATCAACTTGTGTGTCTATGGGGTGCCCCCTGGCCACGTATATAAAGGAGGGGAGGGAAGAGGTGGCCGGCCCTAGGGGGCGCGCCAGGTGTGGAGAATCCTACTAGGACTCCCTAGTCCAAGTAGGATTCCCCTCCCCTTTCCTATTCGAAGTAGGAGCGAAGGAAAGAGAGGGAGAGGGAGAAGAAAAGGGGGGCCGCGCCCCACCCCTTGTCCAATTCAGTTTGGGCAGGGGGGAGGCGCGCGCCACATTTTGGCCCTTCTCCCATCTCTCCACTAAAGCCCAATAAGGCCCATTACTTCTCCTGGTGAATTCCCGTAACTCCCCGGTACTCTGAAAAATACCCGAATCACTCGGAACCTTTCCGATGTCCGAATATAGCCTTCCAATATATCGATCTTTACGTCTCGGCTATTTTGGGACTCCCCTTCATGTCCGTGATCTCATCTGGGACTCCGAACAACCTTCGGTACATCAAACCACATAACTCATAATATCAATCGTCATCGAACGTTAAGCGTGCGGACCCTACGGGTTCGAGAACTATGTAGACATGACCGAGACTCATCTCCGGTCAATAACCAATAGCGGAAACTGGATGTTCATATTGTCTCCCACATATTTTACGAAGATCTTTATCGGTCAAACCGCATAACAACATATATACGTTGTTCCCTTTGTCAACGGTATGTTACTTGCCCGAGATTCGATCGTCGGTATCTCAATACCTAGTTCAATCTCGTTGCCGGCAAGTCTCTTTACTCGTTCCGTAATGCAACATCCTGTAAATAACTCATTAGTCACATTGCTTGCAAGGCTTATAGTGATGTGCATTACCGAGAGGGCCCAGAGATACCTCTCCGACAATCAGAGTGACAAATCCTAATCTCGATCTATGCCAACTCAACGAACACCATCGGAGACACCTGTAGAGCATCTTTATAATCACCCAGTTACGTTGTGACGTTTGATAGCACACTAAGTGTTCCTCCGGTATTCGGGAGTTGCATAATCTCATAGTCATAGGAACATGTATAAGTTATGGAGAAAGCAATAGCAATAAACTAAACGATCATAGTGCTAAGCTAACGGATGGGCCAAGTCAGTCACATCATTCTCTAATGATATGATCCCGTTCATCAAATGACAACTATTGTCCATGGCTAGGAAACTTAATTAATCATCTTTGATTAACGAGCTAGTCAAGTAGAGGCATACTAGTGACACTCTGTTTGTCTATGTATTCACACATGTATCAAGTTTCCGGTTAATACAATTCTAGCATGAATAATAAACATTTATCATGATATAAGGAAATATAAATAACAACTTTATTATTGCCTCTAGGACATATTTCCTTCGGACTGTGCAATGGGTAACAAACCACCATCTCCGTGAGGAGCAATCTATCAACCTATTCCTCGGGGGTTCCAGCGGGGATGACGTGCTCGTCGCAGTTGTCCCCAGTGGTCTAGCGTCGAGGAAGTGGCGGGGATGGGATGAAAGAGAAGGAGAAGTCACAATGGTGACGACGCTGGTTGTCAACGCAGAAGGGTGAGGCATCTCCGTGAAACGGAAACCTTTGCTTGTGTTGAGGAAGCAGAGGAGGGATGGGGTGTGACGCTTGCAGTACAGCCCGAGGAAGGGGTGGCCAATGACAAGGCGACAGAAGGAGATGCAGGCCGCAGAGGTGCGCACGAGGTCGGCTGGGTTGGGAATGCGGAGGAAGATTTCCAATAGGAGGTCGTCGGGGATCAGCGCGAGGTCGTCTCCCGGAGGCCATGCTGCCACCACAGCAGACATGGCGGGGACTGCTGGCGGTGCTCGAGGATGGCCGGTGGGAGACAAAAGGTCCACGCTGGTCCAGTGGCGTCGAGTGATTTAGAACATGATTTGGGGAAAGGAGTCACTTCCTGCAACAATTTGAAAACTCCACAGGGGCTTTCTACCAATTTGAACAAGAAAGAAAAAAGGAAGAAAATACATCTTAAGGACTACTCTCGCGACATCAATTGTCTAGCCCCAGCCAACAATGGTAGCCACGCAAGGCCCATTTGATAACCCTGTCCCTTGCTTGCACATCCGACGGGCATAATCTCTTGCGTCAGATTAACTTCGTGAACATAAGATCTCGGCGGCGGGACCGAAGTCGCAAAAATCAAAGGAAAACAGAAAATAGAAGAGATGAATCATGTCGACACAACACATGTAACATAAGTATTTTTATTTTATTTTTGATGACGGTGAACATGCAAGTATTCATCCCTGCCATTTATGGATATGCTTATAAGATGGTTGACGCCTTTGTGCATATGCTCAACTGCAAGTGAGCGTATTGCAACAGTTTATTCAGTCTCTGAAACCAAACCACCGGTGGCTTGGTCCAACGGATCTCAAGTTTTTCTTAACGGATCAAGGTAAGCCTTTCTTTTGCCTTGAACAGCACGAGAAAAGTGGCGTGTCCGCGTGTGAGAAAAGTGGTCTGCAGTCCTTGCAGCAGCAGTACACACGTAAGAATCAGCAAGTGTTAACATATGATTTTGCCTTGATCAGCACAGGATTCTTCCAGTGATAAGCCCGAATTTCTCTTCTTTGGACAGTAACATACCCACGCGCAGTTCCCCTTCAGTTTATGTTCTAGTATGTGCGTTTTCACTTTTTCCTTTGCCATTTAGCGTTAAGGTTACGGCCGTGTGCATCTTTATATAGCTGGTGCACAAAAAGAAATACACCTCGGTGCTTTCTAGAAAGTTTGGTCGCCGCCTTTCCTCCGCCGCTAGTTTCCCGTGTGAAGCAAGACCTTTCATTTTCTCCAAGCGTCTGAAATGGACATGGAGGGCTCAAGCTCCACGAACAAGAGCCATCAGAAGCAATAAAAGTTTGGCACTTCTTCCACTTGTGCGCCCATTTCCCTTTCGGCCAGAATCATTGCCCCTTTATGGAAATTCTACTCGGCAGCCACTCGATGAGACTTTCAGGGGAATATTGGGTGAGATATGTTCCTGCAGAAAAATATAAACATATACTGTACTAGCATATTGGAAGGGAATCACGCTACATTTCCTTTTCTGCGTCCGGCTCAAGAATCCAATGCCTTTTGCCTCCTCCCAGTTGCGCAAGTGCGTGCGTGTGTGTGTCTATATATATAGGCCCGGCGGCGATCATTGGTATACCGTGCCATCTACAACAAAACAAGCAGTAGTGTGAGATCACCTTGAGATTAGGATACAAGTTCCACATCCATCTCACCCAAGAACAGGTTAAGAAATTAGCCTCTTTCCTGGAAATTTTGGTGGTTCCTAGAGGAAATGGCGCTGAGGAGGATCGTCAAGGAGCTCAAGGACCTGCAGAGGGACCCGCCGACCTCCTGTAGCGCAGGTGATCATCTCATCTCTGAGCAGCAAGTTCATGGTCTTCATAGCCATAACCATCATCATCATCATCATGGTGATCGTTCTTGTATGCAGGGCCGGTGTCGTCGAACGACATGTTCCACTGGCAGGCGACGATCATGGGGCCGAGCGACAGCCCCTACTCGGGCGGCGTGTTCCTGGTGACCATCCACTTCCCGCCGGACTACCCGTTCAAGCCCCCCAAGGTGGCCTTCAAGACCAAGGTGTTCCACCCCAACATCAACAGCAACGGCAACATCTGCCTCGACATCCTCAAGGACCAGTGGAGCCCCGCCCTCACCATTTCCAAGGTAAAGATAATCAGTTGATCATCTACCATATCTATCTATCCGCAACCACGACGACGATGACGATGGTGATGGTGGTGATGATGGTTTTGGCGCATGGATATGCAGGTTCTGCTGTCGATATGCTCGCTGCTGACGGACCCCAACCCGGACGACCCGCTGGTGCCGGAGATCGCGCACATGTGCAAGGCCGACCGGACCAGGTACGAGTCCACGGCCAGGGGCTGGACGCACAAGTACGCCATGGGATGAGATAGATAACTAAACAAGAGCTTGAGCTCGATCGATCGAACTCAAAGATGTGGAAACCATGTACCGATGAATAATACTCAATCAACCTTTTGCTTCAAATTATACTAGCTGATGCTGAGTATGAACTTAATCCCCCCGCAAAAAAAAAAGAGTATGAACTTAATCATCGTCTGTCCTCTCCCGTGCGAAAGCATAAGCTCACCCTTATGAATGCACGCACACGCACCCTACATTTATAAGAATCTCCGAGAGACTGAGCCGACACATCATCTTGAGATTAATGAAGTCATCATAAACGCATCCGTAGTCAATAAGAACGTCTCCTAACTGAACGCACATCGCTGGAACACCTAAAATAAATCTAAAAAATTTAAGCACAAGTGTGAAGTCTAAGACTCAAAATCTGATGGGCTGGAGATACCACTGTCCTCCTAACAATCCAATCATAGGTTGGTTCACGTACACACAAGTACTGAGGTGATCGACACGCCCATTTCTGTCAATATTTTGTACTCCGATGACTAACTATTGCTTTTTCTCTTGAGTATTTTGCTCCCATGGTTGATGGGTATTAAATTAAATCGGAGGCAAAGGCTTTGCCTCATCTATTAATTAAGAAGAGAGTATAGTTTGAATTTAAAGGCCCCGAGTAAACAAAAGTCTTACTCTCCTGAAATAATGATTCCCGATTCTTTCGTGTCCGGGTAACCCACAACTTGTCCTTGAACTTATTCAAATTACATGTTTTATGATGATTGGGAATAAAATAAGAGCCGTCCATCCAAAGCAAGGGACAAACAGAAAACAAAGAGGTCATGGCCACGACCGCATCAAAGGCATTGCGGGCGAAGGTGGGGCCGAAGGTTAACATGTGCATCCGCAAAAAAAAAGGCTAGCATGTGAGGGTGCGGGGAGGGGAGGGGGGAGACGAACAGATTAATAGTCAATCCCCAAAATAATCGCATGCCCACAAACTAAAAGACGGTAGAAATATAGAATAGTCTTCGTAGCTAGAATTGTGGTTTGACTTGTTGTTGTGTCTGGTTTTTTTTTATATTTTGCATGATAATACATGTCTCACTTATATGAGAAGGATCAAAGTACAAATTACGTAAGGACCGACATGATCATACAGGAAAGATAGCAGAATATCTCTGAGTTTGACAACAACGTCCATCACCTGCCTTCGGCACCACCACAATAGCCACCGGAGAATAGAATGATGGATCACCCCCTCACCCGAATTTGACACGGCTCCATCACTGATATGCAGCTTTGCGGACCTCCAAGGTGGCTCTCCAAAAATGAAGCCATTGCCGTTGAACGAATCATATATCGAGGCAACACCCCGGACAGGCGGACACGCCATCGAACTCCAGATCTGACACCCCACCACGACTAAAACATTGAAGGAGGAGACCACGTATGCCATCCATCAACCATGAACCCAGCACATGCCGTTTTTCAGATGTTGTCGATGCAGACCATAATCTGCATCCACTCCTGAACTATCTCCCAAGCTCCATGTCGACGCTAGACCAGACGTCGTCGCAACGGCGGAGCCCGATGACACATGCCCACCAGAAGGATGCCGCCGCCGCCATATCATCCTTACTTGAACAGACTAGATTTCAAATCCATCCCCGACAATAGGACCAATCATCTCATCAGAGTAGGATCTGAAGAATTTTTATTCCACGTCGCCATCGCCGCTGCCGAAGCCAAGAGGGTTTTGTTTGGTGGATTGTGTCGGAACGGACATGCGTATATTTACAGGCTAGGAATAGTAGACGATGATAACACATCTTTGGTTGACAAGGCGAAGCTTCAACATGTGAGGTTGTGAGGAGCCCTGCCCACCTTTGTATGCAAGGAATTTGACATCTTGTTGGACCAGCGCCCTGGTCTCATCTTCCGCTGCTCCATGTGCATGGTCGAAAAATGTGCATGGTCGGGGAGGGACGTGCGCGGCCGGCCGTCTTGGACCGAGTCTGTTCTGAGTTCTGACGTATCTTGCCTTGCTCCACATCCACACATGCATGCACGGCCGGCCTGCCTGGTTAGTGGACCTCGACGCCGCTAGAGAAAGATAAGCCTACCAGTACTTGTCCACATCAGCTGTAGCCAAGGATTCTCCCGCATAATAAAAACACAAAACAAGAAGGATTTTTATAACTACCAAACGTTCAGATTTTAGTAATAGGCAAGAACGATTCTTACTACACTTTAATTATATACATGCATGCATTAAAATGACTAATTTTTCTTTCACGTGCGCTCCTCCCTCTAATTACATGCATATATACACTAAAGAACAAAAAACTGATGTCACTCTAGATTTTTTTTTTCAAACTTTAAAATATTCTGTAGCTCAAACCGTTTCTTCGATTAAAAAACCGTCTTCACGAAAAAAATTCGTCTGGACGAGATCTTCGAAACTCGATCCTATATTTATATGTTCTGGTGGCTCTTTTTTCAGACTAAAAGTTACCACATCTGGGCTACATAAATTATCACATCTGTCATACATAAGTTACCGTGTCATTTACACACAAAAATTCACGGTATGTTTTCAACAAACTTTTATCCCAAGATCAAAATGTGATTATGATGTTTGCAGTGAGTTATCAGCTTTATTGTGTATATTATCATGTTGCACAAAAGTTATCGGGGTATGTTTTTCAACAATTTTCATTCCCTCGGTCAAAAAATTACCGCGATATTTGTATATGAGCTATCAGCTCTCATCTGTGTGTATTATCACATTGTTTACACATGAGTTATTGGGAGGTATTTTTTAACAACATCTTTCCCTGGTCGAAAAGTTACCACGTCTAGATTAAGTAAGTTATCGACTCTGTTGTATGTATATTATCATGCTATATATTTACACAAAAGTTATCAGAGTATGTTTCAACATACTTTTATCTCGGGGTAAAAAGCCCTGTTCAAGAATTCGTCCGATTAACCAGTTAACTTGCCGATTAATCCCTACTCGTAGGGTCACCGAGTAGCCGATAAACCGATAAATCGTCCGATTAATTGATTAAATGGCCGATTAACTTGCCGATTAGACTATTAATCCCCTACTCGCCAGCCAACCGAGCAGCTACCAGTTAACGATTTCCTCAACAATGGTAAAAAGTTACCATGGGGTCTGTAGTGAGTTATCAACTTTACTGTGTGTATGATTCTAAAAAAAACTTTATTGTGTGTATAATACCGTGTTATTTGCACACAAAGTACCGGGGAATATGTTTTCAACAAATCCCCCCCCCTGCCCTCGCGCGGTTCACCTAAGTATCAGGTATTCAGTGCTTCTATTACCATGATATTCACACAAACGTAATCGAGGTTATATTTTTCAACAATTTTCCTCGGGGTCCAAGTTATCATGGTGTTTGTACCTAAGTTATCATTTATATGGTGTATTATTACCATGATGTTTATACAAAAGTTACCGGGGTACATTTTTCACAACCTTTTTCCTTCAGGTCAAAGTTTTCGTGGTGTTGGCCTAAGTTATCAGGGTTGCTTTGCAGAAATTACCGTGTTGTTTACACATAAATTATCATGGAGATGGTTCAATAATTTTGATCCCCAGTCAAAGTTACCATGACATTTATACGTAAGTTATCGGGTCCCGGTGCACAAATTACCATGCCATTTGCATAGAAGTTACCGGGGTATGTTTCAACCCAAAAAATCCCTCATGTGAAGTTTCCATGATATTTACAACGAGGCTATATGGGTAAGGTATACAACTCGTTGGTACATGGAAGACTACAAGACAACTTGAGAAATCCAAAAAAACAAAAGAAGTAAATGTTCTTTTGGCTCATGTGAAAGTGAAAAAAGGTTAACTGTCATATTTCTATTTATTGGACAACAATTAAGGCCGGGTGAGTTGGTTAGTACACTGTTGCTACTGGTGTTTGTACATAAGATAACAAGTTTCCTGCTTATATTAGCATGCTATCCACGTTGAGGTTACCGAGTTGTAAACTTTTTCTCCTCAGGCTAAAGTTATCATGATGATAGTACATAAGTTTTTTCTTGTGAAAAGTTCATAAGTTATCAAGTCCATGATCGTAAAAATATCATTCCATTCACCCAAAAAACCGGAATTATGTTTGAACATCTTTTTTATGCCTCGATAAAAGAAATCTTCTTGCAACAAAGAAAAGACAACAGATGAAAATTGATTATTTGTTTGGTTTAAAAAGGAAGGAATGAAAATAGCCAAAAAAAATCTTTAAAACAACCACGTTGCATGGTTCATGACCGGTGGCCAGATCCAGAAAAAATCAAAAAAAAAAACAAATCCCAATTCCACCATAAAATGCACTAGCAGCATTTGTCAAAATAAAAATAGCCTAATCTGTATCTAACCACCAGCAAGGTATTAGCCTAGCTGGCTAGTTAGCGTACGGCTAAACCTCTAGGTACGGGGTTCGATTCCCACTATCCTCTTTTTTTCCGAGAAAAATCAATTAGCGAAGAAGAAAAAACCGAACCAGCCAACGGTTTTAATAGAAGGAAATAAAAATCGATACTGTGCGAGCCGAAGGCTCGTCGCCATCATCACCCTTCCTCATCGCAGCCGGGGAAACCTTATTGTAGTAGACGGTCGGGAAACCGAGGGAACGTGCGATGCGGATCTCTCGATGATCGGGTCGTTCGGATCTATTGTCATATTACGAACGTTTAGAAATTAGAAATTCCCAAACAAGAAACAACTGCATGCAGGATTCATAGTATACTTTACATATGATTTTCTTAATAAAACTCATGTTTTCTTGATTTTTTTTTGCGAGAAACTTTCAATCTATTCATCTTCAATCATAACAGTACAAAGAACAACAGAGATAATAAAAGTTATAACGATATCTGTGGACCACCTAGTGACGACTACAATCACTGGAGCGAGCCGAAGGCTCGTCGCCATCATCACCCTTCCTCATCGCAGCCGGGGAAACCTTATTGTAGTAGACGGTCGG